CCCCCCCCCCCCACCCCCCTTGTTCCCATCAGCCACATCTCTCTGGCAGATAGAGATCTTCCGCCAGCTTCTGCCACCTCCGGACGAAAACGGGAGAAATGCATCTGCGGCAATGCCGAAAACTTGGTGCGGAGAGTGTTCAAAACAAAGACTTAAGCCCTTCCACACTGCAGCTGCCATAAATCAAATTAAAAGTGATACGGTCATCTGTCTATATTTGCTTCAATTAAAAGTGAGGCTGTTGAATCTGACGGCCATGATCTCAATTTAACCTTTATTGCATGACGAAGTGTGTTTTTTTTGTTTTTTTTTAACTGAAAAAATGTTAAATATGCTCCAAAGTGTTGAATACCATTTTTCCTTTGGGGTACATTCTGTAAAAAAACTAAACAATGTGGCTTGGCTCAAGTTCAAAATATGCTTCGTATTCCAAATTCCATTCGACTTACATGATGTTACGTCTATTTTTCCCTCTTTACTTGGCATGGAATTCCCAGGTTTTTGAATGAATCCCTGCCAAACAGGACTCGTAAGGTCAGACCACCGTGCGTCCACTCCCCTCTCACACGGCAGTCAGAGGTCCCCACCCCGGCCATTTTGAGCGCCGCGTATCAGCCGTGCCAAGCTTTTAATCTGCGTGGTGACATCCCAGTGTTTCCTGCATGGGACAGAGGGAGAGATAAGCACACTCCGCCGTGTGCTAAATCACTCCGCACTCCCACTCCTTCACTGATATCGCCATTATTCAATAAGGGGACAATGATTTCTGGTCATTACAATCAGAAGCTCGTTATTTTTATGCTCTGAGTGTTTTTCATTCTTCTCATGGTTTTTTCCTCCCCGTCACCAGGACTAATTGTTTGCTGATAAACAGTGAAAAAAAAATCCAGCGCGCTGTATTTTGTCATAGGTATTTTGTTCAAGAACTAAAACAGGGAGCAAAAAACTGAAATGAAAATTGATTAGTGATTTGTCAACTGAGTAGTTACAGCTGATATATAAAAAAAACTTGGTACATGGGTCTTTATTTAAAGAAAATTACAATTTGTTTTAATAAATTAAGCATTTTGCCTCAATCTTAACCCAGAATAACATCCATAGTTTTTTATGAGACTTGCAAAAGAAACTTTATTAGCTCAATCATAGAAAGTAAACTTTACTAAGCTAAGTCTATTTAAAAAGATGGGGAAAAAAACTAATTAGCTGGTAACTTTGTTAAATAGCTGGTGAATTAATTGATGAATTCAAGCTTAGTGTTATCTATTCTAACGCACTTGGAGGAAATGCTTGGTTTTTATGGATTTCTTCCCCTTCTATTAATGTTTAATAAATGTATATTACATTTCTGTTTACCCAGGTGTTTTTACATTTTTAATTTTAATAAATTATACATTGTATACAATAATATAAAACAATCTTAATCTTTTTTAAGTACATTTCCCTGTTATTCCCCTAAAATAATCCACATTTGGACATTTTTATGTGGTTTACACCTTTGCGTCCCACATCATATTTCTTTTACCCATACATACATTATTTAACTGTCTTATTTGTCTTATATTGTTGCATTATTTAAAAATAGGAACATATAAGCATACATGCAGATAACAGACTTAAGGAAAGGACCAGAAATGATTACACAAAGAGAATGAATGACATTGTAAAAATATGTGTGGCTCTCGTGTGTCTGTCGCCTGTCGACGGGAGAACAACACGCACACAATGTGGAGAATTATTCCCCAAAGGCCGGTTGGCGGGCAGGGTCCTCCTCAATAAAAGACTTCTGGACCAACAGGCGGTCAGCTCCGGTCGGCTGACTGGACAACCTGGCTGCGCGTGACCCAGATAGCGGCTCCGGGTGAGGAGTGATTTATCCGTCTGCGTTCCCATCAGACAACCTTCCTCTGATTAAGGGTCAGCGGCTGAGACCGGCACCAAAACGCTGGGAACCACACAAATGGACTTTCCAGACACCTACAACAGCCACACACACTCTCACCATTGGGCACACACACCACAATGTGCACAAAGTGTTTTTTTTTCTGCCTTCTCTCATTAATTCATACATGTTGACTGACTTACACGCACTTAAACACACACACAAGCCAAGATAAAGACTTATTGAGCTGGCCTTGACTTTCCCCTGGACCTGACAACAAAGGGATGTGGTGGATCTGAGTCGCCCACTGTTTGACTTGTCTCTGTAGGCTGTTAAAGATCGCCGTTTCTTAATGTCCAGGGTTCACCAGCAGGTTACCGCCTCCATCCATTTTAGTGGAAATTGGGCCTATTGTGTGCATGAAAGGATATTCGGCTGCTGAA